CTAATTTCATCTGTGAAATACTCAAAGTTGACCAGGTAGCTCTTTCTCTGTCTTGAGTGCATTCGTTTACATTTCGTGTATTATAGAACATATTACTTTCAGAACTGGACAAATTTATCAAACTATTTATGAATCTTGTATTAACTTATGCTTAAAAAAAAAAGAAATAAATAATATAATTATAGGACATAATTATTATATTAGTTAATGACAATTAGTATAACATTAAAGCTTCGTATATAATAGCATTCATCAATAATCTAATTGTTTAATTAATGTACATCGAATTCTATCGTTATATTTGTTTGCATTTTAAATGTAGTCTGTATAGATATATAATAAATCACTTTATAATATAAATCCTGCACTCATCATGAAGAGATCAATTTCTATTACTATTGATAAAATGTGTTATTAATGTGACATTATAGTTTTGAGCAGCGATGGAGTTTTTCCCTTATATGCCATGAATTTATATTGTTATTAATAATTAAAATATATCCATTTAGTAAGTAATTGACGATAAATTTGTCCAAAAAAATTTGAAGTTTCTTCTGTTGGATTTTTCACTGAATAGTATAGTTCAATACTTCTGTGCAAATCTGTAGTATATGTATGTCTCTTCTGATGAGTTTGAATGTGAATATAGATATTTTTAGTTGTGAATTTCGAGGTATAATATTTACTTTTACGAATAAAAAGCCTGAAAACTTTGCTGTCTCCTTTTTTTCTTGGTGGTACAAAAATTAAGAGAAAATCTTGTATATATATGAAATGTGGATAATTGTAATTGAAGAGGGTGAGTTGAAGTATTCCAGTGTGTAACTTTTCTGCCTTGAGCATTATTAGATACTGTCTTTTTTTTTTAGTGACTGTACATTATAATGTTAGTAATTAAAATTAAACTGTAGGTACAATACACATACTCAATTTAATGGATATATAATATTGCTTATTTCCACAAACACAATTATTTTCATTATTTCATGATACATTTTACTTTAAATTTTCGTTGCATACTTATATGTACAAAGTCATTTACAACACAGACGATTCACATATAATACAGTTTCATTCATTTTTGGATACAATAGATATTTTTGGAACGTTGTCATGACAATACTTCATCTATTACACACACAAAGATATTTTTCATTGTTTCTAAACTGTTGTGGATATACTGTGTGTTCGCAATATGTTAATGAATAACACAAATACTTATAAGAAGAATAATTTTATAAAAATATTTAACTACTGAGATAGCACTATTATATGTATTTTTAAATGTTGTGACAATAATTTATCAAAAAAATGTGTATATATATGCGCGCGCGCGTGTGTGTGTATATATATACATATATATACACACACATATATATATGTGATTTTCGAAATAATATCGAAACCACTATTTCTTATTTTATTCTGCAATAGATGTATATAGGAAATTCTCTTTATGTGCATGTAAAGCTTTTTAGCCCTTTTATATTTTTATAGGCCTAATAATATTTTAGATATTGTGTTTGGAATCATTGTTCTTTTTTTCTTATTAAAGTTTATATACTTTCTCTACACATATTTATTATAATTTTATTCGGTGTTTTTAAAAAGCTATTTAACACATATTCAAAGATTTATTGTATATTTAATATAAATAGATATTAACCACTTAAATATCCATTATATTAAAAGTATCATAACATACAATTAGTTCTACAATTTTGTTACAATTATATTTAAATTAAAAAGCTTTAAGTTAGAATCTTAGTTGAAATGGGACTAAACGCATATTTTAGTGACAATATTATTATAAAATATTTTTTTAAGATTATCTAATGTTTATATTAATATACAAACATACCTTGTGTTACTGCTTGTATAAGGAAATAATCACAAGTACTGCTTGCTGCATGTTATGCAATAGGCAAATGTTCATTTCACTACCAAAGATAAATTATGGTTTTATATTTTTAAAAAATACTTAAATGCTGTTATTAATGATAAATAATATCAAGTATATATAGTCTTTGGTGGTGAACATAAAACATAATAAATAATTATTTATGTAATAAATGGCTAGGCTTTGTGAAATAGTCGAAGTATTTGATCAAGCATAAGTACTAATTGATGGTTTGTTTCCATTAGCTTGCATATTGGGAAAGGTATAGTAATTGCTTTTTACCATTTTAGTGAAAGAAAAAGTTGTGAAATTGACTGTACTTTATTAACCCTTATCATTGTACTTCTTAACATTAAGTGTATTTTGCTATAGAATGTTATACATTGTATAAGAAGTCATTCTATTTATTACAATGGTATTTTTCTCCTTTATTATTATTAGCAATACTATCAAGATTTAGTTATTAATATTACATTATTAAATCTATTCTATTTTATCTTTTGTTATTAGTGAAGTTGCTAACTTATAGAAATATTATTTAACATAAAAGGATGTAATACATTTAATATATAATAACACGAATAACTGTTCATTTACATAATATTTTATTAGAATGTATTCTTTATTACCTAATAATTTTGCCATCATAGCAATTATTTTTATATCCGTTTTAGAATTAATTGCTTGCTATTCATTTTTGATAAAATTATGAATTAGAACTTATGTTTTAGATTATAATTTTGAAAATATGATATTCATTATATGTATAACATTCACTTACTTTGCAGTCATATTATTAATATATATTTCCATATATCATGTTTATATAGTCAATCTTTCATTTTTTCAAATTGTATTGAATAGTTATAAAAATAACAGTGTTTTTGTAAAGTATTACTTTCTAACACTTTATTAAAAAATTGGAAGGCACTGTGAACAATACATTATGCATGATTAATAATTATTATATTAAACTAATTCATCATAATATTTCTACAGATTATTGATTGCAAATTCTATTTTATTAATTTGATCATGTAACTTCTTTTTTTTATAGAACATCATTCGTATTGTATTATTAAAATACTTTTCATTTATTTCTATAAATTTTCCATAGCAAAACATTTTGGATAAATTTTTGGTGTACTAAAATAGCATTTTGTTAATATGTGTTTTACAGGTATATTGCGGTACAAAGTGGACTTTCAGAGTATGCAACTTGAAGATGTTGAGGTTGATACCTTTGATCTGGATGACTATTAAATCCGTGACTCGACAGACAGTTCTTTTAGCTTCATAGGAAAACATAAGTATATGTTCTCCCTTGCATCGTATTTTAAGAGAGGCACATAAGAGGACATGTTTATAAAATTTATTATATGATGCAACACACATCATAAAATTATTCATTAGAATTCATTCAAGCAATTCACAATCAATACACAAAGGTGAAAAGCACAACACGTGGCGCGCCGATAATCCATGTCCATGAAGAAACAAAGGCAACTCGAAGACTGTGACACTTAATTAAGCCAGCTTGATACCTGCCTATCTCACAGAACATTACCTTATATTACAGTTACATTCTTTAATTATTCACATGGATTTATTTAAATAATTACACGCGTTACAGTGCTGAATATGTTTGTACAGTACACGGTTGGAGATATGATAATTTTGTACCAAATTAATGTTTTGCCATCTTGTCATGAATTTTACGATTGAAAAATGGGAAGGAGGAAAGATATTCAGATAACATGAGGACGAATGTAGAGTTATTTTTGTTCAGATACAACCATGGATAAGCTGTAATAAACTGATTATCATAAACATAAAGTTGCGTATCGTGTATTCTATACCGATTACTAAATTCATATGAATAATGAAGAGTTCTGTACATAGACTTAAATTTTTAATGGCACTGTTGCCTTAGACATAAGTTAAGATCGCGTAATATCCCAGGAAAATAAAATCTTTCCGTCTCATCGAGTGATACACATATAAACATATAAGAGATAATTTTTCGTATCTACATTAACTTTGCTGGCTCTCGACTCTTATATTTTGTACACTCACAATTGTATATAACAAATGCTCCGCAAGTGTATCGAGATATATCTTTTCGATTGTTACAACGGTGCACTCCGTTAGTAAAGAAATATCTTCTGCAATATTTAAGTAGCAATTATTGAGAATCTTACAAAATTTATTTTAACATTGTTAATTTAAATTGCTTATCCATATGATGCCTTTGTAATAAACAATAATATGTATGTATAAATGTGAGAAGAATGAAACGTGCAATTTTGGTGAAGTATCTTTTATGAAAAGTCTCTGTATAATAAAGGAAGATTTGCAAATACCGTGAATCTTATGGTGAAAATAATGTATTGTTAATTAATAGTATAACTAGATTATTTATACTATTATGCCATATGTGATGCAAGGATAAAGCTTTATGAAAACTTCATCAAAATAGAACGTTCAACAAAAAATGACCTGGCTTATGGTATGTGCACAACGAATTCCAAAACATGATGGTTTAAAAGTATTGTATCTGTGTATTGTCTTCAAGGCAGCGAAATGTTGAATGTCAGCTTAATGTTTCTTTAAATTTTTATATGTAAACATTCTTTCGATAGGAATCTAGATAATTATTTATTACTACATCGGTGCGATTATTTCTTCTGCTTAACAGAAGATTATTTTAAGTATACAAGTTCTAGTTCTAAGAACTCGGTAAACGTCTGAAAGAGATTAGGAAAAAGCCGTGTAATCTTGAATAATTTTCGGTTTTTTTTGTTTTTAATTTTTTTATAAGGTAAGGGAATGTGAATTTGCAGAAGAACGCATGAAAGAAAGGAATTAATAGACGTCGTTCGTACATCTCATTTAAACAAATCAATGACGTACTTAGATTATGGCTTGCCTATGATCTCTTCCATAAGCATAGTTGTATAATCTGCTAACAGATTTATAATTTTTGGCAATCTTATTCTCCTGTATTGCTCTAACAAAATATTTTTGTTCTTTCAAATGTTACTTTTTATCTAACAAGGCAATACAAAGATGTAATCGTTATAAGTTTTTGCTTAATGAAATTTTTCAAAATGTGGATTTAATACCTCATATTTTACATGTATTGTACGCGTAAAGTACATTCATGCTATACCCTACAAATTTTAATTCGTTTTTACTGAAATGAATACGAGGATACGGTAAAAATATGAATTTCGAGTTTACGTGATAAAATGTTGGCCGTACCATGATACATGTTCTATAAAAGATGTTTTGTGAAGTGATAAAGAGGGATATTGAAATAATGGCTCATAATAATGAAATGATAGTTTATGATACTTAAATGTAGTCTATGTGACAAAACATTCTGATTATGATGATAGAAGTTACCTCGATAAAAATTCATAGTGTTAACTTATAATTATCTTTAACTCTATCAAGTAGTTAGCTCATATATCTATGTTTTGTATGTTTTGGTATATGTGGTAGTTATTAACAATTAAAATTGTATTATTATTTTACTGTTAATAATACGGAATCGAGAAGAATATAAATTTTGTAAAACTAACAATGAAATATTTTAATCGCTTTCGCTTCTCTTCGAAAATATTTTCAATTTATTTGTTAATTAAACATTATTTCCAATCTCCCTTTTTTCACATACGCATTACACAAAATTTATACGCAAAGAAAATTAACGTATCGTTAATATCAAAATTTAATAAGAATCTGAATAGAATAGAATATGAAAAAGTGAATAAGAAGTGAAAAATACAGTCTATGTTTCTCATGCAAACAAGTTGCTATTAGAACCCGAAAATGTCACAATAATATTTGTTTTCACAGGGCACATCCAAGATAACTTTAAAAATATTTTAGAATTGTAAAAAGTATGATAAATAATAGCAGAGATAGAATGGAAAAATAGATTTTAACGTTTTTGCTCTGTGATGGATCTGATCACAATGAGAGATATTTCCGGGTTCCAATTATAACGTCTTCTTACATTTTTGTTAATGCTCTCCCTTTTATATACGTGAATTTTACTTACATGAAGTAACAGAAAAAATTCTTTATATTATTGGTAAGACATACATATTCGCCTATGGAACGAGGTGCTATTGAATAGAAATTTGAATAGAAAGATGAAAAGAAATTGAAAGAATATAATAAAAGAGAAAGTACTCTATGAAATACATCTTATATTTTACACCTGGATGTACCCAGATATCTTTGCTTAGTATGTATATTTGAACGGATCTAGTTAAATGTATTTATTTCTTTAATTTCTTTTGAAGTAACATTAGTCTTGTAAAAACATTAAATTATATTTATATATACATATAGCTATATCACATCAGAGTTTTTTTATACTTGTGTATTTCACATAGTAAAAGAGTATTGATGTTAAGGACAATAATACAAACAATTATCTATGCTTATAAGATACAGTATAAAAGTTAAATAGATGTAAACTTATAGCAAAGATGTCACTCTTGTATATAATATTTTATAAATTTTTATTTATAATGATACTACTTGTCATCCTTATCTGGTACCAAGAGATTAAGATTGGCATCTTTAGTCGTTGATCCTATAAAAGTTTCCTCATCTCCGCGAATGGATAATGTGGTGACGGAAACATTTGTTCTTCTTTCATCCATCATTGCAGCCCTTGTCCAATTTGAACTGCTGCATTTTATACAACTATGCGAAGGTATTCTGTCTAAACTCACTGTTCTATTTCCACAATCTCCACATTTGAAGAATCTTTTCACCGCATCAGCAACACGCAATGGATGATTCTGTTCTTTGCACATTTCAGAAGCAGAAAAAGACGTATATTTACAAATTAAACATCTAACAGCTTTACAAGGAACCTTATAAGTAGTCAACATTTTCTCTTCCATTCTTTCTTTCATCTCTAGCTTATTGAAATATTTGTCTTGCTCTTGTTCATAAGATTTTTCAATGAGACCAGTATGAGCAGATTTAGTTTGCATCATTTCTTTAAATTTATCTGATAGTACATTTGATTTCTTTGCTTCTTGCCTTTCATCATTTTCTGATTCTCTTGGACGTTTTTTTCCCTTTTCTAGTTTCTCCTCCTTACTCAAACGCACTTTGTTAGGATCTTTAGGTTTAATTTTTCCATTTTCTTTAATCCATTTTACAGCATTATTTTTAGCTATATTAATTTGTCTTTTAGTTATAGGCTCTGACAAATCTATCGTTCCTCCAAGACAACCAATACCTAAGCGAGGATTTGAAGATAGAGAAGACAAATTTTTGTTTCCTATATTATTATTTTTGCAGGAATTTAACTCTATTAACGTAGATGAAGAGGATGTCTTGTGGACCGAAGATGTTTGCGATAATACAGCAGCTTTCCAACCTCTCGACTTATTCATCTGTTCAAAGTCTTTTTTTATTTGTTGTCCTGGTATATCTGTTTTCACATTTTGATTTTTTACATTATCTAAACTATTAATCTTCTGGCTTCCTGAAAGTAATGCCAATCGTTTGGCATCTTTTTCTTCTAATTTTTTATTTTTTACAGCAACAACAGCATTAAATTCAGGCATATTGTTGAAAAATGATTTTTGTTTTTGCTGTGGTTTTTGTTTTAACATATCTATTGAAAATTTCTGAGTATTACTAAATGCCTGTAATTCTGCTCTGCGAGAGCATTTCTTGTATTCTTGCTTGATGTGATATAAACAAAATTCACAACGACTAAGATTTATAATAGAACTACATGGTTCTCCATTCTTTTTCCTGGACTTGCATTTCCCCATATCTTTAGATTTACCAAGTATCATGACCCTCTGAGGATTATCAACTGATAATGTTGCTAAATCAGAATTGTCTTTAGATTCCAAGACATTTGGATTAAGAATACCTATCACAGTCCCAATAGTAGTTTTCCATAGTGTTTTATATGCATTACTAAACATAAAAAGGCACACAGTATTCATATTATCAGATAAATCGCTTATTTTCCATATAGCATATGTACTTCCTTTTTGAGAAGTTTTTGGTGTAGATTTATTTATTAATACTCCTGCAATTACCCAGTCTTTCTCCATTTTTTCTGGATTAAGATGATATTTTATTCTGGATACGGTAACAGGTACTTTATCACTCATACGTGCTTTCAGCTCTGCTGAAGAGATTATTGGATTAACGATTCTTAATCCAAAAAATGGATCACTGTAAACATCTTTTGCTGTAACAATAGCATTATTTGTTACTCTATTTAAATTTTTATTGGTTTTTGTTGCACTAAAATCAAATGTTCTGCTGCTTTTACGTGGAAGTGGTCTATCCTCATCTTTTTTAATAGTTTCTTTTTTTAATAAATTTTTTATATCACGTCCATAATTGGAATATTTTTGTTCCTCGAAGTAACGCCTGTCTTCATCATCCGAAGAGTCAAGGGTATCATCATATACTTCACTTTTTTCCTGGGAATTAGTAGATTTACTTTCATCAGTTGTTTTAGGTGTACTGTCTAAGAAATTAAAATCTAGTTCTTGAAGAGTTTCTTTTTGAGTTTCTTTTTGAGATAATTCTTGATTTTCTTCTGTATCATTATTAGCTAAGAGATCATTTAAAATATCATTTACGTCAGAATCACTATCATTATCCATTTTAAACATCTAAAATAAAATTATTTACTATAATAACTATACGAATATAACTGATATTTTAGCAGTTTTAAAAGTATTTAATTAACCTTTATTACTTACAAGTTACACACAGAAATTGTTTACTTTTAATACAGAAGATGTTAAAACTTAATCGCTAAAAAAAATTATATCTTTAAGACCCCTTATTAGTCAGCTTAACGCGTTCATTATACAGGTAAGCAACAAGTCACGAGTGATTATCAAAACAGTCTGCCATCTTTCCCGCCATTTCTTAATGACAAGCTATGTTTTCATCGGTACGACCAAAAAATTGCTTCTCGAATCTGTTTCGTATTTGTAAAATTATCACGAGTAGATATAAAGTTTCCTTTAATCCAATTACTTAATATTGGAAACAATTAAGTATTATGCCTTTCTAAATAAATTGTATTAATGGTCTGAAAATTGGACAAAATAGAACTAACCAATAAAATTAAGTATTCGGTATTACAAATAGGTAAATTAATGTGTGCAATTTGAGGTACTGTTATATTATACGAGTATACTGCAAGACATCATACTCTAAGAAATATAGTACTTCTAAAAACCCTAAATACTAAATGCAAATTATTAAATACAATTGTACGTATATATAAATCTTTATAATTTCTGATGTTGTTTGAAACAAATTATATCTTTTAAGTTCAACATAATTGATGAAAAAACAGGCAGAATTAATACACCAAAATTGTTAAAATATTTGATTTGAAACGCAATATAATTACTTAATAAAAGATAGAAATATTTGCAATCAATATAGGTTAATAGAGAGCATTAAAGCTTATTTATATGTATCTATTAACGATTTTTGTAGCGTGAAAGTTGTCTTTTCATCAATCCGTAGCATGAAAATCGATCGGTCATATGAAAGATTTATTTTGGATATTGCAGTCTGTCTAAAGGATACAGAAATGAGTTTTGTGGAAGGAAAAGTAGCACCGAAATATCCGTGTGCACGCCGTGGATTTGAAACGCATTTCTTATTCCTTCTCTGATTTTACAAGATGATGCGTGACATCCTTTATTTTTGAAATCAGTCTACCTACGAATTTGAAAAATGCTATAATCTTTTATCATAATACTGTTATCGTAAAGAAGCCGTTAAAAACTAAAAGAATTCATCCGAATTAATAAATTTGTAAAAGAATGCTCAATACGTTTGTGAAACCTTTCTTTACCTCATTCAGTAACAGAATCACGATAACAACGAAGTAGAATACACTTTTAGAATTTTTCTAAAAACAGCACGAAATTTTATTTTAAACATTGTGCTTTCGTATGCGTGAACGATTATCGAGCGAAATAAATAGCACGGCATGGACGTTCGTTTTAAGTTTGCGCTGCAGTAATCATAGCGTGCAAGTCATTTCATATTCTTTACGTAAGCCACCATCTGTAAGAGTAGTTGTATCTAATTGCCATTACACTTGGTGTTTATTTCATAAATAACAGGAATAACAAGAATCACGTAATCGATAATGTAATAAAATTGAAACAAATATATTTGATGATCGACAGTGGAAAAATTAGTACAATTTTCGAAAAAAATTTTTAATACATATCTACAAACAGTAGCGAATGATAATGCTATAATTTTCAGTGACTATGAAGCATATGTATACTGTTACTCTATTTGCTAGCGTGGAACCGACGATCGATTCCAGCAATAAGTCATCAATAAAACATATTCTCCGCTACACTTTACTACTGTCTATCGATCCTGCAGCTATATTACTTTCTTATTTGTGACGATAACTTTTCTCAAAGCAAGAATTTCTTTCTCTGGTACCGTTGGAAAATCGTTTCTCTTTAATATATAATTTGCGAGAAGTGTCCACTGCTATATCTTCGCGTTGTAACGAACAGCGTCGGTTGGCTTATCTATAATTAAACCTCAATGCGATTTGTCTGAAAGAGAATCGTAGAAACAACATTGCACTTACATTTTCCGCCATGAAAATTCATTTTAAAAAGAAATAAAAACTTTTGTTGGAAAATTTCGTTTAATATTATCTTAATTTGATCGTTATTTTTTTGCGATATTAACGTTGAAAAGTCAAACGATCTCTACCTAAATCGCTAAATCGTCCATATGCTTTCTACAAGGGAAGGTGGTTTCTCCAGATCTGGTTCGAAATAATCCGCGGCACGAGGCACCAATAGTATCCTCCACCTGCTAATCTCGAGGAAAGCTGCACGTTTCAAACGCCTTCCACCTGTTAGTCATGGGGAAAGCGTATGGTTACGAAGTTTTTCGAGTAGAACGGTGTAACACGCAGTGGTTCTCTCTTTCGTCTTTTCGGTTCCTTCGAGGACTCCGTACCATCTGCGTCCTATGGAAAATACAGATGTCTGCTATAAAAGGATAAGTATAAGTAATAAAAAAAAAAAAAGAAATATATATTTCAGTTCCAGAAAGTAGTCGCGTGACAATGTTTCGTGCGGTCGAATACCTTTGGGAATTTCTTTATCGAATAGCAAAACGAAATATAGTACAATATATACATTAGTTTTCTAATATTTAAAATTAAAACAGTGGCGTCATAATAGCTGCTAAAATGAATATTCTTCCGAGAATAAATATTTTACACTCCGTTATGGAGTTTTACACTACGTTATATTCGTATCACCGAATAGATTATTCAGGAAGGTAATATACATATGTAGAATAAAAGTGGCGCGTGCACGATGAAATTCATGTATAAGAAAGGAAATTTACGAGCAGTAGTAAGTATCAATTTACAAACGATCGATTAGCCTTAGCGTATATCGTTGAACGCGTTGGTTCGCGTCATGGTAAAACGCGCGCTCCGCCGTACAACTGCAATATACACAACTGTCCATAGCAACGTTGTTGTCAACATAATTTCTACAAAGTAGCATGTTTCCTGGAATCGAAAGAGGCGCGTAGCGAAGCTGGAGAATCACTCGTTTTTTCCCCTTTATTAACGAACTCGGTCGTGCCTCCGTTTGATAGAGGCAGAGCTTGCAATTTCCTCGGTCGGAGTCACCTAGAGCATCGTCGGAGGAAAAGGTAAAACATGGGAGGGCGAGTCCCCTCCAGGCGCGTGCCTTGCCCCTTGACCCCCTCGTCGT